AATCCAAGGTCGTCTAAAAATTTTCTAACATATTTAATAATTCTAGATCTGACGTTAAATTTTTCTCTAACGACATTATTCATAATTAAATCAAGGTAACGTTGACGGTAACGTGTTTCTTGATCCTTAAACCCATAATATTCTTTTGGTAACATATGCAAACAAGGAGAAAGGAGTACAACTTCCTTTGGGAAAATTGACAATTCACCCTTCTTTGATTTTCCAGGGCAGCCACGCACACCTACAATATCGCCACGACGAATCAAATCATGTATTTCGGCAAAATTTTGTTCGGAATCTCTGAAGAATTATAAAATTTTCTTGTAAATGAAAAGATTAAACCTCATTATAATAATAATAAAAAAAATACATACTGTGCTTGAGCCATGATTTGAATTTTAACACCTTCACCATGTAAATCATAAAATCTTAGTTTAGATCCACTAGCTCTTTTGTTATGAATTCGTCCAGCCAATTGAACTACATCGCTTAAGTGTTGACCAGGTTCAAGATGGCCATATTTTTCAATAAAAGTAGGAATTGAAATATCCACATGAAATTTATGTGGATAAGGAATTGGATTACAAGTTTCACGAAGTTTTTTGATAGACTTTGACCGAATTTCAAAATATTGCTATTATAATTGAAATAAGTTAAAAAAGTTATCATAATTATCATAAATATTGCTATACTTTAAATGGTTAGACCTACATTTGGATTCAAATTTTCTTCTGAAGCCTCATCATTTTCGGTTTTCGCAGGTTTTGCAGCTACATCAGCAGTTTTCGCTGCCGCCTAATTCAAAAACAGTTGTACTAATCAAAGATATGTAGGAATTTAAGATGATATAATGACTAAATGATATAAGAAATTTACTTTTTTCGCTTCTTTCTCTCGTTCTTTCTCCCGTTGCTTATTACGACGTTTCAACTCACTTGAATTAAATGAAAATTCAATTTTTTTTTCGAAAAATTTTATCCAATTTTAATTAGAATAAATTAAATATTTTCATACTTTTTTGACACTTTTTCTCCAGTAACTTCATCTAAAATAAGATTACTTTCTTCAGCACTCATTTTGTATAAATTAATCTACGGATCGAATATTAACATAGGTTAAAAAACCATTAATTATAAAATTCATAATTAATAGGGATAATATTTACCTAATTTTATGCAAACCGAATCAAGAGTGACAAAGAGTACAAACGATTCGGAAACCGTATTTATTCATTTTTTTTTTATTGGATCTTATCGGATTTGATCTTAGCAGTCAATGACACATCATCAGTCAGAAAATTAAATTCCATCTGATTGGATATTGACGGGATGACGAACCAATGAGAATCATGCGCAAGAAAAAACCGAAATTTGAGAAAACGAGTGTCTAAACCTGGTTGACTAAGGATAGGTCACTGCGCAGAATTTTCGCAGTGCAATTTTGAAAATTCAAGCTACGTAGCTAGCATAATTCTGATGCAGATTGCGCAATAGGTTTATATGAAAGTAATAAATTAAATATAATTTACCTCCGGGTATTATTCAAGAATCAATTAAGAGGGGTATTTTTAGGGATACGTACTTTATGCAGTGCCAAACGGTACTTATGTGTGAATATCGAATGTTACTTTTAATACACTTATAACTTTCTACGTATAATGTCTGATTCTGAGAATTGCTCAGAGTAATTTCACAGAACACTTAACTCAATGCATTTTCTAAATCTCAACCTTGTACTGGATCATAACAAAGAAATTTGAATATTTTTGAGATTCTTTTATAACCAGGCAGGGTCAAAAATTGAAAAATTTTTTATAAAATTGTTTTAATAATAATAAAAATAATAACCAACGATAAACTTATGATAACATGTTTTTCGTTTATAACTATAGAAGAACGTTCACTTCCGAAAACACGATAAGCTTTCAATTCTTAGTTAATGCATTATATTCACCGTAAAATCTGACAGGTGTGTCATTTCCGGACATCAGTAACCGGGAGAACGTTTAACAGCCAGAACAGCTAGCTTTCATCCCAGAAGTTTTACACTGATAATAGCAGCGTACCTTTGCCTGACATAACTCAATAAAAAACTCACCCAGCACGCACATATGTTATTCCATTTCTTTTAATAATGCTTCTGCTTCTTCTCGAACTTCACCCTTTTAGTAATTGACAATTCTTCAACGACGGAAAGACGAACAAATGAATTGACACGAGACACTTTGCTTTAAAAAAAAAAGAAAAAAACACGCTGATAATCATTGATGGAACGTGCCAAATTTCCATTTTATCTAGAAAAGGAAATTTGGATTGTTTTTGTTTACGTTGAAAGAACGAGGTCACTATTTTTGTAAAACCATAATGGTATTAACGATTGGCGATAATTTCTGCGTCCAAGATTTCAAACGTACTATATATCACTTAAATTTTTAGATTTTACGTCATATAATTTTAAAAAATCAAATTTTTATAATGTTAAAAGAAACATCAGGACTAAAATTTCTTTCAATCTGGAACATGTAAGCAGCTACTCTGTAAATCATCTATCAATGAGCTTATAGCATCTATAATTCCAACCAAGTATGCGGCGAATCCCACAAATAATACGAACAAACCGAAAATCAATTCCAGAAAGGATAACTTACTCCATCCAAATAATTTCATATAAAAAATCACGGGAAAAATAAATACAAGGCAATACATCGCTAATGATCCAAATAATGCCACGAAATCACCAAAAAATGGCACAAAAATGGCGATAATCACACATCCAACGACAATACATAAACGAAATAAAACTCTTAATAAAAATTCGGAAATTAATGAATGATGTTCGTGTGTAATCTTTAAAAATTCTTCTGTTTCAGACGCGAATGATGTTAAAAGTATTGGTGCCGTAAGGAGTACGTCAATAGTAATAAATACGGTTGCTATTGTCACAATTGGACCTAATCATATTATTTTAATATTATATTAAATTTATAGAATTAAAGTTATTCAGCCAACGATATATAAATTAATATATTATTTTTCAGGTTTTTACCTTCATGATCATTTGTACGGACAATCTTGCAGTCACCAAACACATAATATCCAGAAAATGCAACAATCAAATACATAATTGTACAAGTTAATAAAGCGGCAGTTACCACTTTATTCCAATCTCTACGTTTCCGCATATTTCTTTCAATGGATGGAAATAGACTATTTCCTCCATACGTGAGTGATATTGCCGCAAATGATATAGGAAATTTGTATAAATTGTGCGAGCAAGGATCATCATAAGTCATGACATCAGTAAAATCTCTACACGACAATGCGGCGACAGCAATTACAGAAACTAAAGTCGAAAGCGCGCCAAAAATACTATATCAAATCAAAAGTAACATTTAGTATCATTAGTTTTTACTCATTATATATAAAAATTTATCACTAACCTTAAAAAAAACACATCTTTTAATGATTTCATTAATATAAATGGTATGGTAATTAATGCTGCAGCTATACATATCCATATTCGTGTTTCTACGTGTATTTCGAAATGTACAGTTACTAAATTATCAAGATTCTTTCCTGCAATAAGTAAGAAGAAAATCGGAATTCCTAGCAAAATAATGTTATTTAATCCAATCAAAATATATTTTCCAACATTTCCATACGCATGATAACCGATATCTGCATAAGTGCTTAAGCGATTTTTGCTGTTTTAAGTGACAAAATATTTATATATATATTGTATTAGTTAATAATATTCAAATCATATTTTGTTCTTAACTGATAAACTTCAGGAAATTTTAATATTTAATATACCCATCATAGTATAGACATTTGATTAAAATTATGCTCGTATATTGGGTGATTAGCATGAGCATTGCTACTAATGCAATTGCAACCCAACTTCCTTGATTAATGGAATATGGCATTCCAAAAATTCCAGTTCCTGCAATCAAACAACTATGAATTGAGTTTTTTTTAGTTTAAATGTTTAATAAAAATAGTTATACATAACATCGTGAAATAATGCCCGGGGCGTTATTTCGGGAGACTTAGTTTTAAGAAAGTTAATTAATTTAATAACAAAAAATTATGATCCGCATTCAACTAAATTGATTATTAACACTCTTCAAATAAAGTGTCCCGAAATAACGCCCTTGGGCGTTATTTTCGCGATGATGGTAAACAAACTCACGTGACATTTATATACGCTGCCCAACTAGAACCTGAAATGCCTTGTCTTCCATCATGAATACGAGACCTATTATTAATAAGCTCTTCCTGTGATAAAGTATTGCCAAAGTATTCATCATCTATCAACAATGGCGCTTTCGAATCAACAGAAAATACAGAACATTCATCATCTATAACTAGATGTTCTGTACTTAAATCCATTATTTGTGGATATTCGAAAAACTATTAAAGTTTCGTAAATATGGAGGGTCTGGAGTTGAAAGAAGGAGTTATTTTTAATTGACCCGAATTAGTTTTCAATGCACAAAAGAAATGCTGATCCATCACAATCATTACGACACAAATGGAAATCTTTTAAAGTTTCTAGTCTTCATTGGGCAGTATTCATATTCCGTTAACGATAGGGTGAAACCTAAGATAAAGGTGGTTTACCTTATTTAAGCAAATCGCTACTTAATATAGAGTTTAAAGTCAGGGTCTAAAATCATGACATAATCTAATACAGTATCTTGATATTACTACGTACAGTACTTCTAAATCAAGTCGAAAAAAAATTATAATTAAGGTTTTAATTATTATTAATATAAACTAAAAGCGAACTTTAAAAAATATATATGGGCAGTCGTCAAGAGAAAATAGGCATTTTGACATTTTTTTTTTTTAGTTTAAAAAAATATATATATATTTTGATATTTACAATATATCTCGATGAACCTTTGATAATTTTAAGATCTAGTCTTGATTATTGAATTATTAAAATTAATCAAGATATGGGCTGATAAAGGTTAAGACATTGAATTCTTTTTTTAAATATAAATCTTCATATAGCAGCTCGTATTATATATAACTGATAAGAATAGCTTATCTTATTTGCGGAATAAAGCAACCAAAACCAAGCATTTGGTCCCCAAAATTAAATTTTAGTTACCAAATTATATAAGGCCATACAAATTTGATTACTTGGTTTTCATAACATGAAACTTTTAAATAGACCCGGCCGGCCGGCT